CAGACTAAAAAATTAAAGTGGATAATGAAATAAACAAATATATCTTAAACGTATTCTTGATTTAATTAAATCTCTTATAATACATTCTCAGAGTAAGAAACAAAGCAAAAATAAATTTAAGAAAACGATATCAGTGTTTCTTGGAAGCTGCATTAGTAATAATATAGAAATAAGATGAAAATAATCCAATTAAAACGATTTCAAGTAGCACATATTTAATAATTTCCTACACATTATATATATATATATATATATATATATAAAAAAAGTAGTTGGATATATTTCAACGAGTGATTCATAAACATGACTTCATTATTATTTGTTAACAATCGTTTCGCCTAGAATCATCCTAATTATCATTATCTTCTATAATAGTTTCCGAAGATTTAGAATGTTACAGAATGCTACAGAAAAATAACATTAATAAATCGTGTTTAACTGTCTAATGAATGAGACAGTTAAAACACAGTTAATTAGAAATAGTGATTAAAACCTAGATAATGCATAATGTTTACTCCTTTCGTAATTATTGGAACATGTTCACAAAGAATGCCTGAATAACCGTAAATATTAAACGTATTGATTTAAATTGTTTTTCAGTTACTCTATTCATGACAAAAGCAAATGAAAGACGAATGCAGATTGAATATTATCAGTGCGAGTTCAGTTTTGTAAATAAAAGAGTCAAAGATTTCAGGCTAAAAATAAAGGTTTATTTTCCGCATTTGCTTGTACGAAAAAGTAAGTAATTCCTTCCATAAAAGCATGTATGATTATTCTATAAATACGGAAACAAAGAATGTAATTGATTTCACGGAATTAAGTGCTACTATCTTCATTATATGGTTGAAAGTTTAACAACACGATATAATTTAAACATTTATAAAAAAAAAGATATTTAATTACATTTATCATTTAATAATTGTAAATAATATAGGAGCACATAAGAAAATATGTTTTTGTAAATATGCTATAGCTCTTTAAAGTTTGATATATTCTGCTTAATGTAAGCGTCGTACGTAATATTAAAAAAATCTTATATATTTATGCGATGATGAAAATATGATATAGCACTAAACTAATAAACTTTTTATTAACACATTCCAAGGACTTGAATTCCAAAATATGTTTCCAGTAATAAATTATATTTTTTAAGTTCTAAGTACATAAATAATTTAACTTTAAATTTAAATTTAATTAAGAAATTTATATTTTAATTACTAAATACAATATATACAATATTTGATATTATTTTGAAATCGCTGTGATGAATCTTTTTTTTTAAATGTCCAATGTATTGCATAAGATCACACGATATTATTGATTATTAATGTAAATCGTGTGCGTGTTTTTTTTTTATCGAAAGAAACAAGTTGATTCACAGAATATATTAATAACTATTCGTCATTCGTCCGAACAATAAAATAGAAACATTTAATCCAGGTCACAAAAGAGCGTGTAAAACTTTATGCCGATATAATGTGTTATAAACTAGATGAGGTGGTATAGATAAGTGTAAGGTAATGATACCACATAAAAAGAGTAATTTACGAACCGATTTAACACTTTTCTTAAATAAACCCATTTAGCACGGACCAAACAAAAAACACTTTATTTCATATACCGCACCACAACTAATCGTCGCCCGACGATATACTAAATGCAAATGCAACATCAACATTGCCTTAAATCGGACGCCCCCACCGTGCTTCAATCACAAAGAAATTTCAAAATAAGTTTACACAAAAGACTTTTTTTCCTAGGTCAAGTACAGAGAGAAATTGTATAATTATCACATGGCAATCAAATAAAGCAAAACATTTAATTTGTTTTGTTTCAGTATCATCGTGACTCGTAAATCACGCGACTCTCTTCCAATCATTGTCGATAATGTAATCAGTATGTGGTTAAAAAATGACGTTCTCTTTTCATCTCTTCGGCGACCTCCAAAAGCAACGCATCACTTGATGCCAATCAAAGTGCAAAACGCTCACTCACAAATTTTCCTCGGCGCATCCTCCGCAGCACTTTGGTCATCATCTTTGTAATTTAACGTACACCCAACGAAACGGAAAACAAAACAACAACAAAAAACGCACACACTTCACAGAATGAATTTGAATATTTTTTAGTCCACTTTCTATTCGGATTCGGTAAGAATTAAAAATGTACGTCGCATCGGATTGCGTTACATAAACTGCGGTATTGAAAATCGATGTGATTTAGCAACAATAATCAAATATGCTCGATGTGTATAGAAATATGTAATATTCGAGGCAAAAAAAAATATATGTAATGTTTCTGGTTGGACGTCGTGCCTCTACTACTACAGTACTACTACGAAAGCGAAGATACTAGACAAAGGCCAGCGAGTGACGGCGGTGTGGAAAGAATAAAATTAACACACAGATACCATGTATAAATATTTAAATTAGCAATTTGGTATGTTGGTCAAATTGCCGTCGTACGGCTCAATTTTTTAAACTGGATGCAAACGGTCAAGGAGGAAGCGACGACACTGATTAGTTTTAATTCGTGGTGCTTTTAACGATTAGCACTTCTTTACTGCCGCACTTGATTGGGTCCATCCGAAACTGTGTTGCCGCCTTCTAATTTTTTCGGACTGACTTCGATTCGTGCTAAGTGAAAGTTCTTAGTGAGATCATTTCATAATGACTGAAATCTAACAATTTTGACCACCATATTAAAGCTTCCTAATATTGTATGTTACATGCAATTTCCTCCATCCCAACCAGATCTAATAAAATAACAAGCATTAAAAACAAATATACTATAAATAAATTTTATTATTGTTCGCATCCTATTTCGATTTTAGTTTACGGGAAACAAGCCGTATAATCAAATAAAATAACACATTAAATGACGCATGAATTATTTCATATAATGGCAGTTTATTGAGAGAATACGCAATATCGAACATGTTATTTAGGTATTATCTGTTTTTTTTGTATATAGACACAAAAATATATGCGTTATCTATTACCAGCGCTACTATAGTACACAAATATTAAAGACATTTATATCGATTAATTAAGAAACATTACACATATATTATAGTAAGTCCTGTTCTTAACTGAAGAATGTTATGGTTGATAACTATTTGCGAGCAAAATCCCCAAAGGCATTAACACATTTCTATTGTTATTAGATAATATTTATTGAGGGCAGAAAGATCAACTATATATATTTCATTTTTTTTATCTGTGATTAATTAAGAAAGTGTTTAATAGTTCTATTAAATATTGTAATTATTATTGAAAATTACAGTTCCAAAAGTTTACCTTACTTTACGATAAGATCTACGAAATAATCCTCTCCACATGATAGAAATTGAAACTTTTCTTGTATAAAATATAAATATAAAAAAGACTGCAATGTCAAAGTCATAAACTTCAAAGTTGATTATAGAACATATATTTTTTGTTGTCGACTTGACGTGCATTTCGTAATTAGTGTGCATTAAGTTTGAAACAGTTAAGTAGTGTTACTATATCAGACTAGATGACCTACATCAGCCATTTAGGATCTAATTGAATGAATGTTGCACACTTGCTTCTTCGTAAATTACATGCCAAAAGAATTTTATTCGATCTATTCATTTCTGCTCTCAGAATTTTATATATTCAGTAGTAATTTACTTTAGAAATAACAATTATAAAAAAAAATATATGTTATTATATCGAAAAATATTGATAATATTATTAATGTATTATTGGTAAACTTGTTTATGATACTTATTTGTAATTAAAATTAATCATAATCTAAGTTCTATTAATCATTTAATACAAGCGTATTAGAAAATTTATCTGTAATTCGCATAAACTACTCTCAAATAAACAGAGTCAAATTTATTAGACATTCCACACAGTATTATCATGGGACATATAGATTATATTGCTTCTACAAAACAGATGTTCAAGCGATAGATTGCACGAAAATGGCAACATTTGCTGACGATATTGCAATATTAGAATCGGATAAAATCCAGTAATTGCATCACAACAACTTCAAGAAGAGTTCAATCTGATTGAAGCATGGTTTAAGAAATGGTGAATAATTAATATTAGCAGATGTTAGTTTAGGCATAAAGTGGGGTCATTGTTTTTCGATCATTAATAAAATTTAATTAGTGTTACTTTTCGATTTTAATGATAAATATAATTTATTATATAAGCAAGAGAAAAATAGACTTGATTTATAAATAATAAAAGACTATTAAATATATTTTTTGATCTATTGAAGAGTTTTCATAAAAAAAATGATTTCCATAAAAATAACCAATAGTAACTATTCACGATTCACCAATGCCTATGTTATAAAAATTTCACTGTAGACGTAATAAACTTAACGGGAATAAATTCATAGTATGGAAAAAATAGTTTTCTGCCATTAGTTAATACATTTCTGTTTGCTAGAATGATATATGTAGAGAAAGAAGTAGAAAAGTAAACAAAACAGTTATTATAGAAATAAAAATTTATTGCAGCAGCTTTCAGAAGCTTGCGGAGCGGAAACGAAGAAAATGAAATAGTCTGTATGTTTGTTTGCCGCTGAAAAAAAAGTGTAAGAAGAAATGTTCGGTAGTATATTAACGATAAACATCAGACACAGTGACGCGCGTCCTCTCTTCCTGTTAATTTATGGTGTTGTTGAAATATGAATGTATTTTTTTCCGGTGGCGACGTGAAATATAATATTTACAGAGGAAAATAAAAATAGGGAACCGCAATTTCACGATCGCATCTTATCATCTCATCTGACCATTAGTGAACTCGTTAATATTTATTGCTTCCTAGACCTTCGACACGCCACGTAAAAATATCCGTAGATCAAATATCGTCAAGCTATATACATTTTGCTATACTAAAGCAGGATTATATCTTTATATTTTGTATCAGAGTCGACTTATGTGAAGGAAGGAATCAATATTTGAAAATAAAAAAATATAACATACAATGGGAAGACTCACCTCCAAATCTGGACCTTGGTGTATATTATGTACATTGTTCAGCTGATCATAGTAATTCCTGGCAATTTTTTCGCTTCGCCTTCGTCTCTCCGACTCCCTTTCAGTCCTCTTCAACCAAGAATCTTCTCGCTGTTGCACCAAATCCACGCAATGAGCTACAGTGTCCAAAACTGCAGCCGTTGTTGTCCTGAAAGTGATGGCTTCACCTTTGAAATCAATTGGCAAGTTACCTACGAAGAAAATATAAGATGTATTATAAATATGTTATATAAAGTAAATGTATACTATTATTGTTGTTGTGACTTAACATCAGTATAGGCAACCATATGAACATTATCTACAATAACAATTGATCATCAAATGCTTTTGTCTATTAAATAAGTTTCACTAGTATCTAAATTTATTGTAAAGTTATTCTCGTAATAAGACGCAGTCTTTCCTGAATTGTGTGTGATGTTAATGATCTATATTGTCACCTATTCAGGTATCTGCGTTGCTTAACTTATATGTAAAGAACGTCAACCATTAATAAATAAATATAATAGATTTTAATAGTAACATTAGTTGAAATAGGAATGATATGTAAAGAACGTTTACAATTAAACGAAGAATCCTTGGCAGTAATAAATACCATGCAGTCGTGTCTAAGGTTTTACCATTTCGAGCACGTTTTCGTAACTAGTTTCTAAATTAAATGCAGATGGATAACGATCCATCGTTCCTCTCGATTGAAATGCGCAATTGCATTCGAAGCATTACTTCTTCCACTATCCTCATCCATTTAGATTCAAGAGTATCGCATATGATATGAACTTACTTTTGTTCCCGTTCACGATTCCGTTGATCTGCAATGCGTTTCGCGAGTCCTCATTCTCTGCGCACATATCAAAGTAGCTCTGGAGGGTGTCGATCTGCCTGCAGAGGATATCCTTGAAGGTCTGAAGCTCGGCCAGCTTTTCCTGCAAATTACGACCCGTCCGTTTGAAGCTCGTACTCGATGTCGTGCTGAACGTATTTGACTGCAAGCTCATGGACGATCCATGTCGTTTCAAGCTGTTTTCCGACCCATATCCAGACTCGGCCTAGAAACAAAATACAATATGTGTTATTGGACAGATGTTCCAGAAAAATGCGGGATACGTACGAACTATCGTACACTTGAATTTCGAATGTAGTTGCAGTTTCATTGCTATTTCTCCTAAATATAGCGTTTGTAAATATATACATTCTTCATAAGCGATAAAAGAAATCTTAAAATTATCTCAAAAACCAAGAGACTAGTCACTAGACTTAAATAATATTAAAGAGATTTTCTTATATAATAAAATTTGTAGAACCATAACAAATAGAATTCTTATAAATTTTGGTAAAACTTATATAATTTTAATACTCAGATTATATTATGGTAGAACGAATTTTAAATAGTTATGCTAGAACGTGTATTGCAATCGTTATTGAAACATATTTATGATTTTTACATATATGTATTAATGATTATTACTAAAAGCCAATTCTCAGAATTAAATAAACCATAAATAAAGAAAAAATAACAACAATAACAATGTTTTCTGGTTAACCTTGAGATTAAGTAACTTCACACTAAAGTGCATCTAATTAATGCAAATATGGCAAAATGAGGAGAATCATGAAAACAATTGTAAATTTAAGAATATTCTAGAACTAAAAGTCCTTGTAAGTTTAAGTAAATTTTGAAGTTAAAGATTTGTGCCAAGTCTAAAAACATTAAACTAAATCTAATTCTTTGATATCTATACAATTGGTTTCTCAAGTGATTTAACAATAACAATTTTGACATGTATCAAGATCAACACGTGCTAAGGACAATTAGAAAATGTCCACTTTAATCGCAAGAAACAACGCATTCGGTCGTGTTATGATGCAGCATGTGAGGTGACATCAATTGCCCCTGATTGTGCGATTTCAATTAATATTATTATTTTTTAGATATATGTACGTGTGTGTGGTTCGTGCTGAAGGTCGCGGTTTAATTGATGAGGATATTATTTTTTTATTTGCGAGTCCTTGGGCCGCTCAGCAATAGCGGCAAATAGGTTTTCAGTTTATTTTATTATTTACGAACGGAAAAGTAGATTCGCCTCCTGCTCGACCATGCGATATATGCGTTTTATTATTATTGCTAGTCGAATGGCTTGAAACATGCAGTATGAACTTCCATGTGATTCCACAAACGATCATCAATGATTGATTGATTGATGGAGAACTGTGAATCACGACGCTCCGTAGAGCGGCAGAAACATTGGCTCTAGAAGCCTGTTGAAGGAATGCTCGTGTATTATTAAACAAATGAGTAATGAGAAGCGGCGAAAAGAAATAAACAGGATCACTTGAGAAAATCAGAATGATTATGCAACGTATTAGACGTTCAAGGTGTTTCCCATTATTCTCCACGTTCGAGGTCGAATGTATTTCGGATGTAATGCAAATGTAGATCGAATTCAGATATGAGGAAGATCCATTAACAAAGCAATCGTTAATATTTTTTGTACCTTTCAAACTAATAAATATTTAGTTATTATACTTGATAAATGCTAATATTTGCACCACGTAAGTAATTATTATAAATATTAAATATATTATATAATTAAATCAAATCCATTAAAATTATTATTATTAACTTCAATTTTATTATACTCAGACATACAGAATTCCACTGTTCAGTAAATTATAAAATGTTTACAAGTTCGATGATTATAACTCAATTCAGTACAGTTTAAATACATTTTTCATATATACAACTTTGAAATGTCCATAAAATTTGAGTAATTACCTTCAATATAAACATTTTCAACTTTTACAGCAGTTTACTTATCTTAATTTAGATTTAAAATACAACAGTAATTGTTTGTAATAATGACATACTAAAAATGTAATATTCATGTTTGTAACTTCTATTTCTATTGAATTGATAAGATGAATAAAATAAACTTTAGAAAATAGAAACTAAAAATGGGAAAATTTGTAATTTATTAAAACTGCAAGAAATTTATAAATATTAAAAGACTAGTTGAAATATATAAACATATCCAATCAAACTGAACTTGTTGCGCAAATTGTAATCAAACATGCAGAATTATGTAATACATAAACCATATGTGGGTACCTTTAAACGCTGATTATTTATTAGTATTATTTATGCAAACGGCAATGTTACAAATAATTTGATAATACAGTGGGTTAACGAACTTAATTCGTTCAAGACGATGAAACAAATTGTTCATTAACCAATTATCATTGTATGAATCGACTTAAGCATGAACCACTCCTATAGATATCTAAAAAAATATATTTTCATGTAATTTTTACAACTGCTTCAATCATTTAATTGATGATCTTACATAATAGATATTTTAAACATGATCTATGGACCAAAGTCTTACTGCATTGAAAATAGAATTTACTTATACACTCGGTCCTCTTTTTATGCGGTTTTTATTTCAAGAAGCATTTTTTTAAATAACTATTTTAGGCCATTTTGACACAAATTGGAAAACCATTTCATCGAAAAAGATGATAATTCTGAACGAGCATTCAAGTTTCAATGCGAGCTTAAGAATTGCATTTATGGATATCAGAAATTGTACAAAAAAAAATAGCAAAGCAATCACAAAGTTTAATCACTTTCATAAAAAAATTCTGTATTTTTTTTTTGTAATTTTTTTTTCCGTATAAATTTAGAAGGAATATGTTAAGATTATATTTTTCTGAAATTTAATAAACTTGTCTATGATTGTTAACGTTTTTATAAAATTATGAATAAACATTTCAGAAAGAATATAGTAAGAGTAATTATTTTTCTGAAATTTAATAAACCCTTTTTTATGCGATTTTCGGTATATTGTAACTCATTGATTTAGTTTTATGTGGTTTTATAAAATTATGGAACGTATCCTTTATTTTTATACGTGTGTCTAGTCCTTTTTTGTGCGATTTATTTTTATGCGTTTTCCTGTGGAACGTATCACCGCATAAAAAGAGAACCAAGTGTATTTTATATTAAATTTAAATCATGCAGTCGAAAGTTGTAACCCAGTTAACTGAGATTAATAATGTATATAAGTATATAATCGAGCAGGTAAGCGCCACAATGACATCACCAGACCTGGCGCCCGTTTCTCTTAACTTCTGCATATGCAACAGCATTCCGGGTAATAGGACAATTACAATTAATTAATAAAATAAGTGATTTTATTGCTTACCTTGTAGGATTCGAGCGCTTCAACCCAGTGCTGTTTGCTGTCCACAGTCTCCGCCCTGAGGTACCACACGCAGTCATTGACGGAAACATCGAAACGGCACTCGTCGAATTCATGAGGCTACAAAATTAAACACTGAGACAAAACGACCTTTTTAGCACCCACACGTATACTTAATCTAAGTGTGATCTTCATTCAATAATATAAGGCTGCAACAGGAGGAAAGAAAGAACAAAAGCAACTCACATTTTAAAATGAATCCAAGGAAAGGAATGCGTTGATCAAACAGCAAAAGGAAATATGTTAAAAGAGATATTTACATTAGATATTAACAGATTACTCAGCATATGATCGATGATGGGAATTATGGGTAACCACGGATAAAGAAAAACAATCTATTTGCATTAAAAAAAAGGAAAATTATCGATTCAAAGCGAAAAGAAAACTAACATTTATTATTCTCGCAACCCGCATTATTATCGCATAAACTTATACTTGCTTGGTCACAATACATTACGGGTTTCAGTTCAAAAACAAATAATTAGTAATGTAGGGGCTGTCGTAAATAAAATATGCCTTATTGATTGGATTAGTTGAAAGGCTGCCACGTCTGGATAATAAAAAAAAGCCATGAAATCCGTTACATAACTTTATATTTTTCAGTGAATAAAAGCTTTTATCGGTTATGAAAAATGGAGAGAGGAAAAAAAAACATCTGGACTGCGCGATTAGATATATATACGTATTCTTCTTTACAGATACTAGGGCTGTCCATTATGTCGGTTCGTTTCCGGCTTGAACGAATGAAACAACCATTCATTCGTGCAGGCTATTCCATTATTAATGAACGCTCTTGTGTACCGAAAACGCAGACATCAATTGGACATTTGAAGAATACTCCCGATTCCTGTATACATAAACGAATTCGCGCATTCAGGATACATCGATTATTTGTGAGTGATGCAGGATGCATCGATTATTTGAGAGAGATAGATTCGTTTGCATAACGCGTAAACAATTGCTTAATTATAAAACAATTATCAATGGCTTGCATAAATCGAATCTAATTTCAAGGACGACCTCAAAATCGCATTATAATTATGTTGTTAATTTCCATTGGATTAAAATATCGAACCACTTTTAGTTTTTAGCAAATATTTTGGCTCTTACGAATGAGCACAATTATACATGCAAGCAGTAAATCTCTAAACTAAAAAAAAGCAAATATATTTAGGTCAGGGTTAATAGTCCTCGGTTAAAAATATATCACTACATTAAAAAAATACAGTAAAAAGTACCTGTTCTACATAACTTTTAACAGTAAGGATCAATCTTTAAAATTGAATTGAAATATCAAATATATAATTCAATATTCTAGTTATGCGATGTGATTCTTTTAATTATTGATTTCTATAGTTTTTGCGTGTCCTACATGTTATATGAGACCCAGTTTATTGCCTTTTTTATACAAAGAGGAAAGGCTATTCTGTGCACACGCGATGAGCCTACATTTTATCTCTGTTTCACTTAAATTGATTAAATCCCACATCAACTTGTACTATAACAATATATAATTAAAAAATATATAAAATTACAATAATTCATGTGTTTTTTTTCATAATTTTCTAATTGTATCTTTTTTCAAAATTTTATGGTTGTTGCAATAAACGTTGCTGTTATTATTAAAATTATAAAATTGTTGTATTACACATTACCAGCTCGTATTACATTTGAACGAGTTGTGAATCACCCTTATAAAGTTGCTATAAACATTATGTGTAATTTCTAAAGAATTGAATAACATTGACTTATGATTATTTCATAATTGATAGGATTTTTTTACATTTCTATATTTAGAATTTGCTCAACAAACAGACTTATCTGTATAGTCTAGCCAAAACGTCATGATTATCCGTTAAATGTGATCTTAGAGTTTTCTTATTTTTAAAAATCTGTCTGCAAGTTGTTATTTGGATAAGCGGAACGAATAAACACATTAAATATATGCGCGGCAAAAGAATGTAATAAAATTGGAGATTCTGTAGTTCAAAAAAAAATCCTGTTTCAGAATTTTTCCGGTTAAACGCGCTGTTTGTAACGAGCATCACGACCTTTGAGGAACAGCGAGGTAGGAAAATAAAATCAACATAATAAAGTGAAAAAGAGGTCGAGAGTGCGCTTCCACAAAGGTTTGCTGCGAGTGCTCAGAAACATTCGTATAATAACATTATTTTATATATTTTTGAAATACAGTGGGTTTTCGGTTAACGAACATATTCTGTTTGAAGACAATGTTCGTTATCCGAATTGTACATTAACTTATCATAGATTTAAGACGTTGCTTAAGCTACATATCAGTATTAGCATCTAAAGAGTAAGAGACTCGTTTTCCACTTAAACAACTCCCCAAAGACTGTGTAGAAAAACATCCAAATATTTCGATCCAACTTTGAGAATCACTAGTTTAAAGGTTTGTTGTTCGATTTCTTCGCAATCAATCTCTCACTGTACTTAAATTGTATCCAAACATTGGCATTTGTGTAATACTACTTCTGTATATAGTTTTTTTTTATTTTCATCGGTTTATTAAAATGTTATTCTTACAATAATACCTCAACTTAGGACGGCTCAATTTACGTCGATGTATAATTAAAATAGTAAATAATCCAAATAGTTATTTAATCAAAATTTAATAGTTGAAATTTTAACTAAAAAAAATGATGTTCGGAAGGAATTGCAAAATTACGTCTTTGTAGTTTGATCACCAAAAACCAATATCAGTTTAGTTTAATATTGTGTATAATAAACACGATTAAAAACTATTTGATAAAAATTAACGACTATGTTTATAATTAAATTGATTGCATTAGCTATAGATCCATATAACGAAGATAAAAAAGATAAAATAACTAATCGCTATTTATTTTCAGTTTCATATAAACAAGACCTGGGTATATTATTATGAACAATTTATCTGATTATCAATGATGATGTGCGTTATTGCTTATTATTGAGAATTACATTAGAAAATGGTAATGGTTGCAGCAAATTCCACTTACATGAACATAATAAAAGATTTTTCCCCCTTCTTTCCCATATGCATTAAATAATTTCCTAATGGATACCATTACCATTTCCGTTCGCATGAGGAGGTCGTTACGTTCTTGTACTATCTGACATAATGCGAATCCCTGCACGTTGACATTTTAAAAAAGGAAAATATATTATTTTGCAGCGGTTGCAATTTTCCACAATATGCTCTTCCATTCCATCTCAAATATCTTTAAATTGCGTCGTAACCAACCAATAAACTTTTTTTAAACGTTTTTCATAACGTACAACAATGTATATATAGTTTTCACTGTAAAGACAGCTTTTACATTATAACTTGTTTATGTGGTGTAATTCCGAGTATTATGATTACCAAGATTATTTATGTTTTAACATTCAATAGTGAATTGTTAATAAGAATCACGTACAGTAACAGAACTAATGAGTTTCGTTTAAAATATTCATAGGAAAAAAAAAAAGTTAAACATTTATCGTATGGGAATTTTCCGATCATAATATTGAAATACTAGAAATTGGCATGAATATTTCTAAAAAGTTTAACAAAATTTGTGTTTAGTAAATGTGTTTTTGCTCGTTATGCATTCATTGTTAAATAAATAATGAACACGCAACCTTCGTGTTACCAATCAACATTTGTGCACACGAAAACGAAATTAATTTGAACAAATGTGTACGAAACTAGGACTCTTCCAAGTAATCATATAAAAAGCTTTTTGTCGTTTCAATGAATAAGTATAAGAAACTATGGTTGTTGTTTTTCTTTTCAACAATGTAATAATTGATTTATAAAGTGATTCGAAGAAAGCAAAAAATTGCGTTCAGACATCAATGCAAATGATTAACATCAACGTGAACATAAAAACAGCATTGAAGAAAGTTCTATAATACCAATAAAATTTCAAAATAATAGCTGGAACTTTTTATTATTATTCTGCTTCACGTAAAATTTTACAATGTAAAGTTTGCATGCACTTAATACTATGATATTAATATATGTTTTTTAATTATACAACGTTATGAAAAATTGATAATTGCATATGAATCATATTTTTTATCTCGTATGTAATTTATTAATGAATTTAGTACCAAGATATGAAAGTAATTGCAATTCTGTTTTCTATATATATATAAAATTTTATAAAATCAATTAAAAAATTATACTGAGAAACAATAAGACTTATATGAAGTAATAACTATTTTTGTATTATTTCATTTGTAGCTGATTAGTTTTTTATGAAGAAAGTAACAAAACAATTCCACCTCAATAACGTGGCATATAAAAAAGTCATTCGAACTGAATAATCTATATGGAACAATATTGTACTTTTATTTTCACGTACACTGCAATTACGAAAGACCGAATTATCACGCTATTTTCGTGGAACCGATATTTTTTTTCGGTCGCACGAAATACAATTGATTTACGCAAATGACATTAAGGTCGTCAACCGAATTTTCTTTACCATGACAACCGTTGTATTTGTATTAATACTAAATGAAATTGATTTAGCCATAACAGACGAAAATAACTATATTTTTATAGTTAATATAAACATTAAAATATTAGTTATAATGATATTTAGGTCATCAACCTATTTTGGACGAACAAAACAAAAACTATATTTTTAGCGTTAATACAAACATCAAACAATTTACGTATCATATTACAAGACACCAGTATAAAGCTATTACTTTCTTAATTTAGTTTAGGTGAGTTCGAGATTGTTGGGTCCTATGAAAGTACACTACATAATGTATTCTAAATCAGTGTTTCTCAAACTTTTTGGGCCGCGACCCCAAATGCACTTAAAACAAATACTGCAACCCCGAAGAATGGGTATGTGTAGAAAAACATCCTGGATGTTCTGTCATAAATTTTTCTGCGACCTCCCAAATATTTTTTGAGAATCACTGTTTTAAATGTCATCTAATTAGAATATTCAAGTATAATATAAGACTTACACTATAAGACTTCTTTTTATTAAATTTTTATCAATTTTCTATTATTAATCGTATATAGCAGTGATGAGAGGTATTTATTAATATTATATTAACTAAATTAAATTTAACTAATAAGCAAACAGAAGTTTGAAGAAAACAGGATTATTAATTGACAGTTGACAATAGGATTAATTATTACGTCTCGATATTCCCATCATTCTTACTGCTACTTTCAACTGTCATCTAGATATTATCGTAGAATTAATGTTTAAAACGTTCGTGTATAAATTGAAGATGTATTTTTTTTGATAATGCTCCAGATAAAAGGTCTAAAGTACATAACGATGAAATATATAGTAATATATTAATAAGTACATAAAAATGTACTTGTTTCATTGTACATTTTAAATACGAATGGATCTTTAAACATCTGTTTCAACTGTTAACAGATAAAATGTAAACTAATTTATGTTTAAACTATGATGTTCATTATGGATATAAATACGGAAGATTGTTATTATTGTTTTGTAACCAGTTTCAGGTTGTTCAAAGGCTCGACAATAATTACACTGCAAAAAGATTATTTACATTGGCAGGTCGTTAAAGTATCTTGTTCGACAGATCTGGATGTCGTAATTGAAATAATAATCTCGGAAGGCAGTAATTAAATGGGATTCAATTAGGATGGAGAGAGAACTCAATTAAGGGCTAAATGTGAATTGGGTTTCGTTAATTGGTGCAGAGAGTATCAATTGGATCCGATGCGTTGCATTTGACAGTTCTGGGTTGAGGATATCAAAACATCAATTGTTCCATACATGGAAATGCAGTGACAACATTCGAGGTAAAAAAAAACACAAGGTACATTCGTTGGAGTCTCGATAACGGCTACAATGGTGATACGTATATGACGAAAAAAAACAACAACAAGCAGATAATGTGAGGCAATTAAGTGGATGGAATGGAAACGTGGTGTGGCCTTATTGATAATATAATTACTAGTTACTTTGATGGTGGCTTTGGCGAGCGTGAGGGCCCCCCGGCACCCGTAACCGCTCTCCTGTTCACTCTTGTAGTATGAGAGGGTGCCGTTTTTCAGGACGATGTACCTTTCTTGCCAACCGTGTATGTAGTTCGTCCACTTGCTCAGTACACCCTGCAGCTCACTGGGATTGTTCTCGATGTCTGAGGAATCATCGCTGCTGTGCTCGTCCGCCATTTCCAAGCAGTACGCCCGATATCACAACACTCGTTGGAGTGTTGCTAGAGTTGATGCGGCACGACAGGACTGTACTCACTCCCTTACGCACGGAGTTTTCTTCGACAACACCACAGTTCTCTCTGTCTGTCTCCTTCTCCTCGCCGACTACGAATACAAAAATGATGGGCTCTCCTGTGACTACTGTCCTCGTATCGTATATGTATTCGGTTTGACGCGCAATTCTCTCTCTCTCTTTCCCTCTATCTCTCGTACACTCGACACTCTGGACTCTACGATATGTCTCATACCTCAGGTCATTATCGTTGCCGTATTGTCGCCGATCTATAATTAACAATGTGCGCCACCCTTCAATAACATCAATCACAAATCACTGCTGATTTACGGTTCACTCGAACGATGCATATGTGCCCAGCCTTTTAAACACATTGCATTCTGTTTCTATCGCACTCAAACACAAACATCAGATGGTCCCATTTCAAGCACCATCTACCGCTCGCATCTATAGCAACCGTGCATACACTCTTGCCTATATGATACGACGAACATATTCAAAATTTTATAATAACCGACACAAATTGTACCTGATCTATTTCGCAGGCTAATAATAAGATTATTTATATGTCATTCCATTTTATTAACATTTTTAGTTTCATTATTGTCCAATACCAATTAATTTTCTCAGATCATTAGGTTTAAATGTTTGTATTATGCCAATTGGTTTTATGGAACTATTGGTAGAGGTTATTAGCAAAACTAATAGATTTCACGCAAATTAAATTGTCGTAAATTCTATCTAGATTATTGTCTAAATGGACTAAATACAAACGAAAAATGATATAGTATGATTGTTTGAATAAATAAATATGACATTTAAACATATTATCAACCAATTACATAATCTATCTGTATGATGTATTTACAATTTATCAATTCACCTTAGAGCAGTATTCTTCAACTTGTGGTCCGTAACATGAAATTATTTATTAAATACTATCTACATTGACCAAAGATCCAAAGATCTGAAAGATATTTCTCATATTTTTGTAAAAAGGTTTAAGAACGTTAGCTTAAATGATTGATAATATTTCAAATAATAGATTAATAAACTAACCATTACGATATTATTCAAATGTAATTTTCAAATTAATCAGTTACTATATGCAACTCAAATAACACATCGTTGCATTATTTGTATATTCTTTTGTGTATTTATCTATGCATTAATTTATTGAAATAATGCAGTCGTTCTTGTTAATAAATTGTAATAAATAAAAGCATAAACCTATAGTTAAGGTTATGCGGCACACTTAAATTATTATGATATTAATAATCTTTAACTCTTTGGCCCCTCGTAAATTCCTATATTTCCACACCCAATTAATTTTTAGACATGAACAGTTTATAAACAAATACTATAGTGAAGCAATCAGTTTTGTTAGGTTTTAGGCTCAAAGAAAAGTTAATTCTAAGGAAATATTTACGTTTCATTTTTAGATTTATAAGAATTGTCTTATATTTATAGTTTTAGATTATAGATTATGTAAGACAGGTTCTTAAATAAATTGAATATTAATTTTGTTGCTAATATTTTTGATAATAAAGTCTGCAATTTTAAGTTCTATTAAACAGGTATGCTCCAGGATCTTGAAATTGTTTTATTTAATGATCTTGATATCGTAGAAAAGTCCATTGTCAAATCCTATTTATACATTTTATAAAATTGAATTTGTTTTTGTTATATTGATATTCGTCAAGTAATTATTTAACTATACAAAAAATCCGCACAAACTTTTCGGACAAACCAATATTTTTTAATGACTGATGATATAATTATTTAAATAAAACTACGAGTTCTTTTTAAATATGTATTGAGTCAATATTCCACAATATAATTTTTATCTATACAACAATTACACCGATTTAATAAGCTACAGACATTACATATTTTTTTCATTAAATATACGCAGACCAAACACATCTGCTTAAAATTTCGATATTTTTACATACAAGTTTAATGATGATAGACGACTTTATACAAGAACTAAATAAAGATAAAAGAATTATTATATAATTATCACATTCAATCAATAAATAGCTAAACATCATGTCCGTTTTCGAATTACATAACTCAGCAATAAACTCAAGGCCTTAAAATATATATATTTAAACAATAATAAATTTGTGTGGAGAGTAATAAATAAGTAGTTCATCGTTGTCGCATATTTACACACATTTATGATTTCAGTCTATTTCGAAATACAAGATCGTCGATTCATTGCGTCGTAATCAAATTTATAAAACACCCGAAAGTGTGAGCCCATTTAAATCTAGCACGCTTATATTAATAAATAAATTCCTTATTCTGTCATTTAGTTAAGTTAAGCTTAATTACGTTAGGTATATATAATGAAAAAAATTTGTGTGCTAATAGTATTTGAAAATTATCTTAGTCGTTGTTATTTACAATTTCTTTTTGTAGTAGTTATGAGGTGTACTTATATTGATTAATTTTTGTACATATCGCAAAGGACTTTTTCCATCGGCGTATTGCCAATAGTCTTCTGAAAGAATACAGCTTCGATTCTGGCAGCTGGAACGATGCGGAGAAGTGGAAGCATGAGCAGGAGTCTTCCGAAACGCGCTACTTGTCCAGGGAGTTGCGCTCTGCAATGCTGCCAAAGCATGACTTGTGCTTGATCTTGGAGATTCTCAATTTGACTGGGGTCCTTCAATCCGCGAGTTTCTGTAAGCAAAACTTTGTTATTCTCGTGGACTTCTTTTATTTTGCTTGACTTTACCTGCTCTGAAGAGGACAATAGCTTTTAGACAAGCGAATTCCGCCGGATCAACATGAACTGATTTGAATCTCATCAAAGTATCCGCCAAAATCCTCACATCTGTCGTCGAATGACCATTCTTGGCGTGCTCGTTTGGATTGAACAGCGGACTTGAGCTGACATCTAAAGGCATGCACCATTGTATGGCGTTCAACAAGAACAGTTCGCTCCAAGCTTCTTCCAATAGAATTACCTAATCAAAAAACAGTTTCAGGATTAATTAATTTAAATAATTAGTTTAACTATAATATATTTACCTGATCTCTGAATGGCAGACTAGCAAAACTTGGCAGGTTCTTCGCCCATTTAACGGCCATAAAGAGGAGTCGAGCTGATGTTTCGTAGACTGTTTCGTGGCTGCTGGGATATAAGCTGGTTGTCAAACTTGCTGGATGTGGTTCAGGCCGAACTGGACCTGAACTTGAGGAAACACCACAACCGGAAGTTGGCGTATCCTCTTCCTCATTGGTCACATCTATGCTTTCCTCTGCAACAAAAAATATAAATCTCCGTTATCATTTGATGTAACCATTCATTTTTTTTTTTTGCATAATTTATCTTTCCGTCTCGAAAGTTTCAAGAGGGATTTGGAACACTTGATTAAGTTTTGAATATTGTCAAAGCGATGCGCGTTCTCCATGCATGCTAAAGGGTGGATTAAGCGGTAAAAAACTAGAGGAGGAGGTAGAAGAAGCAGCTCACGGAAAAAAATGTCCGGAACTTTGGCACGGACTAAACCTTATATTTATTACATTTGCGTGTGTGAGGAAATGCACATACAAAGATTCGGGCGCGGATTCTGTAATCCCTGCGTTGGGATTACTGGGACGTCAGGTTAACTAATTATTCTTCAGGGACCTGCAAGAGAGATTTACCCTTCGATACTGCCTCTCTCCCTCGCATCGGTCTCTCTCACACTCACGTAGCTGAAGAGATTTCGTTAAGGGGTTGGCTTGCTGGGGATAAAAAGCTTAATTCCGGTATGCTACCCCTTTCTACTCAAACTCAATACGTGCACTACACCATACATATACACAGACTAGGAGAGAGTGAGTGAGTGAGAGATACAGTCTTCGTACACAATTTGTACAAATTTGAGAACGCTTCAAACTCCGAATCCGGATAATGCAATTAGAGACGACTTATGGAATCACACTTAATACGCTGATTCAATCCCAACCCAAGACCCTTTGATCCGTGTTTCGCATTTTATACACGTAATCATAACTTGCTTTGTTAATTTGAACATGATAATTTCCACAAAAATCTGTATTATATAGTCATATAAAACTAATAATATCCAAATTTTATATTTTTTATACTATTAACTAGTGCAGGGTGTCATAATAGAAGAATTAAGAATTTTAATAATTAATACTAATTAAAATAATGTGAAAATGTTATAAGTTAAAATACTACTAGACGTGAATTCCTATAATTCACTTGCAAATGGATGAACTGAGTTAACAACATATTTATATTGTTATAAGCTGCATGCGGATCTTCGTTGTGTCAAGTGCGGGCGGCTCCAATTAAAATTTTATTTTATTAAATTGAATTTTATTTATAATTATTTTCATTTCACATTTATATTTTTTATGTGTTCTTACATGTGACTTGTGTTTGAAAACCTTAAGAAAAAAGATTGTCTTTTATTTTGTTGATCTGAAAATAAAATATATTCAACACATTGAATGTATGTTTAAATATCGTGGATGAGAAGTTTCTATGATATTTTATTCAATTTATTCGAAATGGAAATGATTATATTATATAGCCTTTTCAATAACTAACGAAGGGTGCGCTGTGAAAGAGAGAAGAAAGGGCTTACCATCATTATCGCTGTTGGTGTCCTGTTTGGTGGGCGTAGGTTCCCTGTTCATGACCGGGAGCGGTGGAACAGCGGGATGTAACAAACTGGGACCGTAACGGGCAGGAGAAAGAGCCATCGTCAAAGAAACCGGGGGACTGAAATTAAATGACAAACACGTACATTTATATATATATATTTTCCTATTCGTAAACTGAAAACTAACTAAATCATTTTTCTTCTTTCCAATTCGATAAAAAAAACTACGTGTTATTTAACGTACACGATCAACTGAGCTAAATAAACTACATATATATTCATATTGTTTACTACACTTATGTTCAAGTTAGATTAAGGATATATCCTGTTTTTATTTTCTAAAAATAGTTTTAGGAAATAAAATAGACAATGATTTATATGTAGATAAAGTGTACTTTGGTATGAACATCGAGTATAATTCAAAGATGTGTGTTTCAAAAAAAAATCGTAAATGCAAGTATATATATGAGAATTCATCGACCGATTAACACATATTATGTTAACGTACTCAAATTGTCATATGTTAACCGTTAACATATGTCAATTTGTGTACGTTAACTGCGTGCTCACTGTATTTTTATTTTTTATGTGGTGTAAACTACATACTACAAAGGAAGATCTTCAGCCTTTTCATCTCTGCTTTGTTGTGTGACACTCTATGAGCATGCATTAGTTGGTGTAGTGTAATGCCAGATGAACAGGCTGTTGATCAAAAGGTGTGATGCTGATGGTCGGCTTCTATGCTTTTATGGCTTTAACGTATGCTCTTCCACGGTTCATTCGGGTCTCTGGTGCGAGCCATCGACCAAGATCAATACCGAATCAATCGATGATGGGCTATTTTTAGAGGTGCAGGATTATTTACCCGAACACTCCAACGGCGACCGCAGCTTCACGTAGAGCCCTTTCTTGCTCGGCGCTCATGTCCCTCAATGCCTCTGGTCTTATTGTTGCCGTGTTCCTAGGTTGTCTTTCATTCTGCACCGCTGAAAATACAAATATATTTATTACATGTATTCTTATGAACAATCCTATAAATATTTATTTGAAGTTTATCATAATAGTTAATAGTTATCCTAAGATATCTTTGTTTCTATATGTTTATTTTTTTTACTTTTGAAACTGTGTACTAACTGTTGCAATGAGGTCGAAGACAGATCTGTCATCTCATATTTGATTACTGAAATTAGGAAAATATTGGCATGTATGTTTCACACAGTGTGGGTGTAGTCAGAGCCACTTTAAAGTTGTCGTGGGAACTAGGCAGCAGTTAAGTAGATTGTAGTTTAAAGTCTCGTGGGCCCCAAAAGTCTTGCGTGTCTTTGTGTCTAGTATGTCTAATAAGAGCAATAAGATGGGCTTGGGTGTAGCATAACCAATTTTATCACTTTTGTGACACTCTCATTTGTGATATATGTCACATAATTTTGCAAGTTCTCAAATAATTTAATAAAGTATCCGCTTGATGTCTTTAGACATTATAGAATAAAAGGTGTGAAAACACTATTAGGAAATTGGTAAGTAAATTAGTTATTTCTTTATAAAAAAAGTGCTTAATACATAATAATAATAATGGATGGTCGGTATGTCATATTGCCTACTGTATTATATAAGTATTGAAAATTGTAACTTTGAAGATGTCGAGGGAACTAGGCAGCAGTTAAGTAGATTGCATAATACTGGCATATCTAATGGATAAGACGGCCTTGGGTGCAGCATTACAAATGTTATCACTTATGCGACATTGTCATTTGTGACATATGTCACCTAATTTTTGCAAGTTCTCAAATAAATTAATAAAGAATCCGCTTGATGTCTCCAGACATTATAGAATAAAAGATGTGAAAACACTATTAGGAAATTGGTAAGTAAATTAATTATTTCTTTATAAAAAAATGCTTAATACATAATAATAATGGATGGTCGGTATATCATATTGCCTACTTTATTACGTAAGTACTGAAAATTGAAACTTAAAGATGCCGTAGGAACTAAATTTAAAGTCTCGTGGACCCCACAAGTCCTGTAGGCCCTTGTATCTAGAATATTTAATGGATAAGACGGCTTTGGGTGCAGCTTTACAAATGTTATCACTTATGCGACACTGTCATTTGTGACATATGTCACTTAATTTTTGCAAGTTTTCAAATAAATTAATAAAGGATCCGCTTGATGTCTCCAGACTTTATAGAATAAAAGGTGTGAAAACACTATTACGAAATTGGTGAGTAAATTACCTATTTCTTTATAAAAAAAAATGCATAATACATAATAATAATGGATGGTCGGTATATCATATTGCCTACTGTATTATGTAAGTACTGAAAATTGAAGCTTTAAAGATACCGTAGGAACGAAATTTAAAGTCTCGTGGATCCCAAAAGTCCTGTAGGCACTTGTATCTAGAATATTTAATGGATAAGACGGCCTTGGGTGCAGCATTACAAATGTTTTCACTTATGCGACACTGTTATTTGTGACATATGTCATTTAATTTTTGCTTCTGACTGATATTAAAAATTATATTTATTAATTACTTTTAAATATATATACTCTTATTTTATGTCATTTATGAGTAATAATAGAACATTACATTTATATACAAGGATGTTACTGATATGCTATAGCATAAACGTTTGACATATATCATCGAGTCACTCTTGCATATTCATTCGTGTACATGTTTTGAACGTTGGAACATCATTTAAATATTACGGTCAATTATGTCGGAAAAAGGGATGAAACCCTCTGTGTTTTTAGGGTTAGCCGCACGCGTACCCCCTTCACACCGACACGTGCCACGCAAAGAATGAATACCGCGAGAGGTAATTTGGCACGCAAAAGAGGACATCCCGTCGTGTATGAAAATCTCACACGGAACAATAATATATAAAAAAATATATACGTTATCTCAAATTAGGCATTAAATTTGAGGATTATGAGCAAAAAAAATATAGAATGTCACTGGGGTTATACATATACTTTATGTTATGCGTTTCATGTAGTATTCATAAAAGAAAATCGAATAATCCCTGTGGTTCAGATGATATTTTATTGCAACAAAAATAAAAATACATAAATAAGAAACTATAAAATAAAAAATTAGGTATACTTCGCACAGTGCGGATTCACTATAGTTCGATTCGGTTCATTATTTTTTTAATACATAAATTGTCGTTTTTTTTTCTCTAAACGGTTTTAAAGTCCTCGATTAGTAAGGTTATAAATAGTGTGGGATATTGGCGAAACTGATTGCCAGCACTATGCGAGGTATTGATGTATTATATTTTATTTATTTTAATTTGTACTAATAGTCAAGTAATTTGTTATATATAGTACTCTTATTGTTAATTTACTTGCATATATACAAGTTAAGAACGACCAGCACTTTAATAGGATTATTTGCTATACGTACTTAGAAGTATTTAAACAAGTAATCAACTAATTGTAATTATCAAGTAATGACTAGTTAAATTAATTCATTTATTTTGTATAACTGAGTAAGTTTGATGTAACTGATAATTAAATAATTATTTTTAAGTATCTTTAATTTTTCTTTTTCCAAGTAAATTATTTAGATGATGTAGGAATAAATAAATATTATTTTAAATGTCCGTATAACATTTAAAATAATGGTGAATACATTTAACGATACAATCAATTTTGAGAATGCTTTGATCCTATTGTTATAATTGCAAAGATAATGTTCTCTCGAAGATGAAATAGATAATTGGAGTTAAGAGTATACGAGCATCAGTATTAATTATCATAGTTGAAATTCAACAGATTATGTTTCGTCGCGAATCCACGTTTCGGCAAACAACCTGTGTGGTGTGGTATAAAAGGAGCTCCGGGTTGAGCCGAAATGTCATGCTCGTCACGTATTTGCGAAGATAGAGGTGACGGTGTGGGATGTTCATCATCAAAAGAAAATGCAAAACGCGAGAGGGATGGGAAAAGCCGCCTTTTAACCCGACCGACGTTATGCAACATAACAGGGATGTTAGACGCCCAAAACCGTAATTGTGGCCTCGCGCCTAACACAAAGGATGCAAATCGGGATGTTGCGTTTTAGGGCGTAGCCGACGCCTTCAGCTTTTCAGCCAGACGCCCGCCGTCACCGACGCCCCTTCATTATTACCTTCATTTGGTTTACGCTTGCAAATTGTTCTTGTTCTCCGGCATCAAATGAGAAAATAAAAAATATATATATGTATACATAAAATTGTGCCAAATATAATTTCATTTTAATGAAGAAAGTATAACATTTATTTCTCAGTGTTCTTTTATAGTTAGATGCATTTAATTTGAAGATTTATTTTGAAGAAGTCAAAAATCAACATTTTTAATGTTTTTAAAATATTTCCATGTGTAATTTAATTATTTATTTTGTTTAAATGCACTTTCTCACGTATTTCGTAAATCTTTATCGTATTTTCTAAGTGCGATTTTTATTATGCGGTCCCTATCCACCGCATAAAAAATTTCTGTGGTGTATTATACAAAGTTATCTGTTATATGTAAGAATTTATGAAAATTTTGAATATTTATTTTGTGCGATTTTTTATACGGTCCCTATCTACCACACAAAAACAGGTTTTACTGTATTAATTTACATAAATATTATAATGATTACTTAAAAAAAAGTAAAACTTCTATGAAAAATATAAGTGCATTTAAATTGAAGATTTATTTTGAAGAAATCAAAAATCAACATTTTTATTTAATAAATACAAAATTGTATACAAATTATTCTATTTCGGACTTAAACGTTTATATTTCTTAGTTTCAAATGCAAGTTCGTAGCTTGTTGATAATTCTAAAAAATAGATTTATGTGAATACGTTTTTTTTCAAAGTAATTTCGGTAATTACTTCAATTCTTTATAAAGAATAAATACAAATATATTTAAAAAATATACTTCATTATTTTGTCTTAAAAGTTTCTTCTGTCATCATTAACAGATTCTACTTTTGATTATGTAAAATAGTTATGAAAAAAGTTATTTTAAGATAAAAAAATGTGTATCTTAAAGTGTTTATAAAAAATATTGAATAAAAATGAATAGTAATTAACCCTTAAATTCCCTAAGTTTCAAATTTGATACCGGACTTTTAAATCGAATTGTACACTTGTAATTGGTTTGTTTCTAATATTTGCCTGTACTGCAATAGATAAATTGACATTTTGTAAATTTAATTTGGAAAATCAGGCTTTTAAGGGTTAAAGAAAACAATTTAAGTGTTTTAGTTAAGTATTCTGAATTAGTTTTTTATTTGAGACAAGAAGTTAATATTTTATTTAAATGATTTTTAAATTAAAGTAGTAGCAATATGAAATATATTTTATATCTACTATGTAGTACTTGTAGAACAATTTATTTCATAAAATAATTATAATTATTTGTTTAGCTATAATTTATTTTGTATATCATAAAGATTATTATCTAACCTGAATGTTCTAATCGTCTCATTTTGTTCCAAAAGCGTGCTGTGCCGTAATTAAATGAATAGCAGTCGGACACTGGGTTTTTCCGACTTGCACGCTGCAATAGCAGGGATGGACTCGAAGTCCGTACGCAGGCTTAAATTAGAAAAAGCAAAAAAAAGACAATATTAATAAGTTTTAAGTAATAATCAATTAAATTTCTAAAATTAATTTTATTTTTTTCCAAAAAATGTTCATAATAATTCAAACATTCATTTTTTTTTTGGCGAATATTTAATTTAATTGTTTCTAACTGATAACATTATCAAATTATTTAATTAAATTTATATTCATACATGATAAAACAAAGTTAGTAAATGTAATTTAATGTAAATATGTATTTATAAAACCAGTTATTTCATTTTATTTTATTTGACTTGAATGATGTACATTAGAATCTGTTTTTGTGCCGTTCTTTTTTATGCGATTTCTTTTATGCGGCATATGAAATCCAACCAATTCCAACGGCGTTGGCATCATTATAATGTTTTCAATCAGTGTGCATATGTACAGCTTGCTCAAACGATTCTGTCAGTCGATTTTGAACCAATTAATCGAAAGAAGATGCGCGTTTTGGATTAACACGAGAAGCAGTAAATTATGTATGTGTATTTTGAAAATGTCTGAATATGTATTGAGAAATAAAATGTTTGAAAATGTTTCCACTTGTAATTTAATTATTTATTTAGTTTGGATGCACTTTTTCATGTATTTCCTATATCTTTCACGTATTTTCTAAGTGCGATTTTTTTTCCACCGCATAAAAAAAGTTTAAGTAATGTATTATACAAAGTTATTTGTTATAAGTAAAAATTTCAAATATTTATTTTGTGCGATTTTTTTTATACGGTCCCTATCTACCGCACAAAAACAGGTTTTACTGTATTTATTTATATAAATATTATAATGATTACTTAAAAACAAAGAAGATATAAACTTCAATGAAAAATATAAGTGATTAATAATTAATAATTTGGTAAAAATTGGATCAAGAAATTAAACTAATTTATTAATATATTACAATACATACATATGTACATTCATTTTCTTATAACTGTTTTTAAAAATTATTTATAATTTGCTGAAAACATCTAAAGTCGATAACTCGATTAACGAAGAGAATGCGTTCCACGTAACTACTTCGTTTTCAATGATATTATAATCACAATGGTGTTTCGTTCCTTCAGCGATACGTCAAAAATTATAATTTATGTTCATCACATATGAAAAACTATTGGAATTCACCCCCGCCTATCATATATGTATCTAAATGACACGACACTCGAGTTAACTCTTTGAGGGACCAGTAATTCCTAAATTTCTAGACCCAACAAATTTTTAGATAATTGAATCAGACAACTTTGTGAACTGAATCAACATTGGATGGTATGAATGAATTGATATAAAAAGGAGGCCTGTACAATTTCTAGAAAATTATAATAATTCCCTACTAGGAATGTTCAAATAGTGTTACATTGCGTGTACCACCGCCCCTCGAAGAGTTAAGCTATGTTTTTCTAATCTTTGACACACCAATACCAAAAGATTTGCCATCACTGGTATAGAAAATGACAAGTTTTGTTTACGAATATTTGTTTGCGAACAAATTGGTCGACATGAACTTCTTCAATTTTGTTTTCATTTTTGTCTTTGTTACTAAAAAGTTTTTCTAAATCTTCCTCTGAAAACTCATAATATTCTACATTCAATAAAATTCTAACATCGTCTTCATCCACATTTTCGAAACTTATTGCTGAAGCTATGTGGATAACTTCATTTCTATTTTTTGGTGTTAATCTTGAAATACAACTTCTGGATTTTATAAGTACCATCAATTTAGAACAATTGCGGATTTTCATATATCGAATCATTTTTATCAACGATAATGTTAATCGAGATATGGCTGTTCTTAATATTATATATTACTTAGTTTAGGACAATTTTTAGTATTATCATTTGAATTCTTTTTATTTTAACATAAATTATTTGAAAGATTATGTAACAATATAATAAGGTTAAAGAGTAAAATAATATTTGTAGTACAAATTGAGACGTGTTTACAATAAAATGAAGTGAGAAATGTCTTAATGTTTCTTTCTGCAAAATTCATTTACAAAGTGGATGTACAAATGACAGCAGTTAATTCAAAATGTTCAATGCTGTTCCGGATATAATAAAAGGACTTTGCAAGCGAAGGACCTATATTCCAGAACGGTAAGAAAGACATGCATTTAAATGATTGTTTTAATCCTGATGTTTCTGCAAACAACATGGACAACTGCAGAAGTTTTCGGGGGGATCGTTGCGTCGCGACGCCCCGACTTCTCCCGGGCCGCGCCCCCGTGCAGAGATTGTAAATTAGCGGTTGGTACGCATGTCCGATCAGCCGCCACCCTCCCGCTCCTCATCCATCCGCGGGGGCAGGTCGACAACCACCGCGGCGGCGGTGATTGCAGGGTGGGGGGTCGGATAAAATGAGGGAAATCTCCGGGAATTTTGGCAATGCCTCTTTGGCGGGAATTAGCCGGATTTCGGATCCTCGCGACGTGGCGACGGAGGTGGTGGCTGCGTGCATTCGAGTGAGATATATAGAATGAGCGAGAGAGAGATGCGGGGGTGAATGAAAGAGGGAGTGAGATGAACGGCGGAGGGTGGAATACACAGCAAGAGGGAAAACGAGCTGATGGTGTGAGGAGCTTGTTTTCAGGATGGGAACGCATTAATCAGTTTCTGAAATCCCTGTGACACCCTCCGCTCACAACAACAACGGCCAACCTCTGCACACTCATATATTCTTCTCCTGTTCACTTCACTACCAAAATAAAGTATTCTTCTGCATTCCTGATTTTATTTGGAAGTAAAATAATGTTTTTGTAAAAGCCCAATAAAAAAAATCTTCATTCAACTTGATTCAGTTTACAAAACAATTCCAGGATGCCAATACTACTTATGTGGACGCGCCGTGATTGACATTATCTATAGCAATTACCATTTGTTTTTATATATATATAATAATTGAACACAACATATGACGTAATAAGTAATTACATAAAGATATATTTTTGTCTTCATTTATTATTGTTATGAATTTAAAATATTAAAAAAAAGAGATATAAATAAATAAAAGTTTTTAAGGCCGGAAATACCACGGTCCATTGGCCCAAATTATGGTCAATAAATAAATAAATAATATTATACTGAAAATATAAATATATATTAAAAATAGGAACAATTCAACTATTCCAAGTTAAATACCCGGCGCATCCATGAGGTAGAAAATACTTTAATAAAGTATAAAAAAATGCTATACAAAATTGCCAAATACCAACATAATATATTCATATTAACAATAATTACTTGCCTTTAAGCAGTAAATCATGAAACAATAGAAAACAGAAGACATGATTTGTTTTAAATGTGTTAATAATCTAACGACTTGCAAATTTAATGATAATAACAGTACTTTTAAGATTTAATTTGCAGCTGGTTCATATGGTTATGGTTATACATAATATGTATATTAAATCTTTTATTTATTTTGAAAATATTATAGCTTAATATTGGTTTGTAAAAGTTTCATAATAATTAAAAATTGCACAATCAAGGTTTGTGTATAGTTAAGTAAAGAGTCTTAAGGAAAATCTTCTATCAAAATTTATTGTAATAAAAAACTTATAATAGTAGAAATTTCTTTAGTACCTAATAGTATTTTTTTAAATCAATTGGAAACTTACCATCTTTGTTCATGCCCATGGATAGGCATTTCTTCAACCTGCAAGCCTGACACTGATTTCTGTGGGCTTTATCGACGACGCATCTTCCAGTTCCTGCTTGACATCTGAAAAAAAAATGTAGAATACATTTTAAATGTGAGCATTATAACGATTACAGTTGTATCTCAATATTCATCCCCTATTTAAGCGAAAGAATTAATGAAGGACGTAACCCCAGTTGTAAAAATAAATAAAGAAAAGGGAGACAGAGAGAGAAAGAGAAGAAGTAATGGAAAATCAAGTTCAAGTAATATTTTATTCAGTCCGTAAATCTCCTGGGCATTGATTGCAGCTTCCCCGCTCGGAAAAAGAATGCAAATTTCTCGGGCCAGCAATCAGAAAGTATTAAGAAAAAGGAGAGTAAGAATAAATCCCCGCATTCAATTAGAACCCTCACCCCCACTTTGAAGACCCAACGCGCCTTCGTCCTTCTCCATCTTCCTCCTATTTTCATTTTTTTGCTGGTATCCTTTAGCTGCGCTTCTTTATTTTATTATATTTCATTTCTTGGGTTCGCTAAGGGCGGAAAATGCGGCTGGAAAAATGGAGGGAGGGTGGTTCCAAGGGGAGGAAAATATCGGGAGATAAAAATTCCATCAAAAGAAAAGCAAAAGCAATTTCGGGGAATGTTGGTATGGGAAAAATTATATACGCCTTTCATATATATATCTTTTCTCCTTTTTATTTCTCCGTGAATTTGTATCGCTCTCCCTTTCTTCCATCGACTATTTGCATCTTTTTCGCTCACGTCCCTGAGCCCCGGTAAATGTAAAGCAAAATAAAATGCGTTCATCAAAGGGAACTTTGGTCCTTTTGCACGCACAATCCTTTTATTAATGGTCGCCGCGTAAGCACAGCTTCGAAGGTCTTTTTTTCTTTCTTTGTAAGCAAAATAATTATAATGTACAGCAATCAATAACGATCATTACAGATTTGTATGCATTTCATTCATAACTTTTAGATATCATTACACATCTTAACATTAAATAATATTCTTTAAACAAATGTGTATTGTTTACTAACTTTTTTGAAGTAATCATTATTTTTAATTCATAACGTAATAAAGTTATTATAAGATATTAATAAACAAATACAATAATATAAATTTAAGATCATAACTGTAAAGTAAAAGTTTTTGAATATTTTTTTGTTTAAATTGAGTATTATCAAATATCTACTAGTATATTTAGTTACAAGGAAACAGAAGATTTGTTGTAAGTTAATTGTAGTATTAAGGTGATGATATTATGATAAGCAAAGGTAGGTAGTTCTTAATCTATTGAAAATCCTTCATATTTCGTGATTGAATATCCTAAGTTATTTTTTAGTTGTTGGTGTGTAGGGATTTGTGCGAGATTCCCAAATCCCTGGTTGGAACTCTAGTAACGAGCGAACTTGGTGCGATGTGTGTGTCGTCTATGGGACATGTGTTCCAGAAGCGGAATCACTTTATGTGTGTATATATATATATAGATATAAAGCGGGTTCATCCCTCGGTCCATCCCTGGGGAACCCGCCGGGAATCAGCTGCACCGTCGAAGCGCGCACTAAACTATCGCAGGAGATGGCATAGCCTGGCTCTGCTGGCTGTGTACACAGGCATCGCCGGGATTAACCCGGCAAAAGAAACTTTAATGGAAAAACTATCCTTGCCTTTTAGGAAACATTGGGGACGATACAGAAAGGAGGACAAAGCTAAGCGACGCAAGCACGACCAAAAACAACAATAACAAGAGAAAAAAAGTGGATAAATGAAACAAGTTGAGCCTTGAATTTAAATGTCCCAATTTGGAACGTCAACGTCTTTTATTAAAAGGCCGCCTTTTGTTATTTTCTTATTATTTTTCTTCTTTTTATTACATTTTCATGATAATATAGGTTTAACTTTCAATTTTCATTTAATTTTTAGCTGTTTCATTTAGTATTTTAGCTTTCTATAAAAGTAATACCATTTCATTCAATACCAAATATTCCCAGATTTGATTGTGTACAAGAAAAAAATCATAATTGTTGAATCATTAGAAAAGCCACACTTTTTTTTAAATTGTAGCGTCTTATAATTTTTGCAGATTAATGCTCCAATTATTCAATTAGAAAGGATGAGAAAAAATATGTTTTATCAATGTTTATTCTTTAATAAATGTATGAATTTTGTTATATTCAAATACAAATAAAGGATTGATACAAAATATCAAATAAAACTGCCTTTTTTGTAATAAGTCTCAATTGCACGCTCTTGTTTGATGAAAAAATATACATAACTTTCGAAATAAAATGGTATATGTATCATTCATTAACAATAAACTATTAGTTTTTGTGTATTATCTGTTATTAACAAAATGTCTTCCATATTCTTTTGTATTGTGTGCATTTGCTTAACTTTGTTCAAATAGTTACATAACAATTACTCAATCACATTCTTCTATGAACCATAAAATGGACTTGACTATAAAACGTACCTCAAAGTAATTGTTACATTTGATACATGTACATAAAAAGGTGTATTTTAACGTCTAAAAAATATTCTGTAATAAAATCTTATTAATTTGGGTTATCTTTATAAAAATGATTATTCAAAGCAATGTTCAATGTGCAATTTCTGTTACTTCTTTTGAATACCAATACATTAACGAGCGACGTTTCGTATAACGAGTGATTATGAGAAGAGATGTCCCGGATATATCATTTTTAAAACTTGTGTACACATATTATGTGTATTTTTGAATATATTTCGCTATACGAGTAAATATCCGGAAATTTTGGAACAAATTAAACTCTTTAAGTGAGGTTCCACTGTATATCCTAAAATGTATATAATTAAAAATGTAATAGATTTAGTTTAATTATTCTTTGTGATTTTTTATACTTGATTAATTATTTAAATTACTTGATTTTGATTTATCTCAAAACAAGTATGAATGCAAATATTGTTAATCAATTACTAAATTGTAACGATAATTTAAGTTGTACAGTACTAGTATATAATCGTATTATTTAAAGGTATTTGCATATTATAAATATCCGCCGGTATATTAAAGTTAAACAGTGAAAGAATTACTCTAATTGCATTCATAAATTATTGAGCTGTATTTCTTTCTTCCTCTGCTTTCCAGTTAAATGTATTCAAACCTCGTGGCCGTTATGAACTTGCGGTTGGATCTCGTGGAAGCAGATGGGAAAAATGGAAAGGCTCAAGGAGCCTTTAAAAGTGGGATTTGCGGGGGAAATATTCCGGTTGGATTTCGGAGCGGCTTTCCGACCGACGCTACCACTGCCGCCCGTCCCCCGTCTTACATACTCGCAGGAAAAACTACCGTTGCCAAGTCAATCCTGCTCTTTATTGTCCCAAGGGGCAGACACGAAAGGACTACAGTTTTTTTCTTATATATAAATGTATATATGTATGTATCTTTTTGTATCTCCGAGATTTTATGCTTCCCTTTGACATTTATGACAGGACTCTGCGTTATATATAAATGCTGTACCGGTTACAGTAATAAACATTTGTGGTATGCATTGATTTATAGCTCGAGAAATATTTTTTTTTTTAATTAAACCTTAAATTTAAATCTCAAATATATAAACAAACAGATAAATAAGGCTCACTCGAAATATCAAGGACTCAAAAGTATGACCAGCAGAGAAGTAAAAAATAATAAAAAAGAGTAAAATAATTGTAAAAAAGTAGAATAAAAATATAAATTAACCTTTCAAGTGCCAGAAATACTTAAATTTCTAGACCCAACAAATTTTTAGACAACTGAATCAGACAACTTTTTTCAAAAGAATCAACATCTGATGATATTGATCATATTAAGATTAATTACTTGATATGCCAACTAAATTAAATGGTAATTCATCTAGGCATGTTTAAAAAATGGTACATTACGTGTCTAATCGATGTCTTTTGGATGGGTTAAATTACTTGAAGTGTAGTTGCTTTTTGAATAATATTAAGGATTCGTTAATAGTTTATGAAAACGATTGAAATTTTTGTTTTTTTTTATATGAGGTATCAATCAAATGTTTGCAAAAAGCTGTACATTTCATTTAGATTAATGTTCACTCAAAGTTTTCTTTTTAGAACAGGATCATTTTCTGTACAAAACTCATGATACTTATTCGTTTAGTTACAATTGTTTACATCATTTGGTCATCAAAATACCATTATTTTATTGTCTATATAAAAATACATCCGAAAAAATATGGGGGAAAATTAATTTTTATATAAATATTCGTTCGTTTTAAGCGCATTTACTGAAATATGAATTAATTTGACTTATTTCAAGTTTATAATACTATAGTATTTGAAAAGTAGATGATTCTTGACGATGTACCAAGAAAAGTAGATGTATAACTAGTTTCAACACGTATTGCTATTATATAATCATAGTATTATAATAGAGATTATTGAAATATGGGCGCATCTGTAACTTGGGCATTTAATTAGTATATTCGAGATAGGTTTTTGTTGGTTTTATGGTTATTATTGATTGTGTATTTGGCAATTCGGGATTGAAGCGGGGGTGTTTTGGCGGTGGATTACGGTTGGTATCAATATGCCGAGCGGCGTCGGATTGACATAATGAGCAGATAACGCGCGTTTCATGATGATGAAGTGGCGCACGAGATTTGGTTGGTTCCGGATGGCGGGTGGTTGCAGGCCAGAAGTGCAGCACCGCAATCAATTAGGGCTTCAAACCCCGTGAAGGGGGGCCGCACGACGCGCCCCTAATCCCTGGTCCGTTGGCCTGCCGTATGAGCCCTTTGTGCTCTAATCCGGTTAGCGCAGGAATCGTCTGTCCCCCGCAACTATGCGCCAACATCGATTCCCAATAAATCAACAACAAACAACAACATCTTTCGGAATTCCACCATTACTAATATAGCGGAGATATAGTCTCATTATCCTAATATTGGTTATCAATAGATTCGTAAACGCGACTCCATTAGGATCGGTTAAACTAACTAATTAAATAGACTTAAACACAGGTGTACATTCAAGTTGATCTAATATGATATAATATGTACATAAATAACATAAATAAATGTTGATTGAACTTATATTGTAGACCTAGACGTTAGCAAAACATTAAATGTTTAAGACTTCGTTTAGCATTTAGGATGCGTTCCTAGACAACAAGTTAGAGCAAATATGTAAATTTAGACCTTTTTTTAATTTTGAGTATACCGCGTTATATAAAATCAGAGTTAAGGTGTTAATGTGGATTTAAATAATAAATTTAATGTATGTGATCAATAATCAATTGAGGTTTTGTAGACATTTTGGAAAATATGATGTTTCATTGACATCCTAACTTTTAAATAATCTAGAGGAAGTAAGAAAGTACCATTACGTTATTTGTAAATGTGAAGTTAATTTTCAGAATAATTCCAGACTTACATCGGTAATTGTACTTGACAGAAATTTTAGCACAATTATCAAACTCTTCTAAAAAAGTCACATCTTTAAGAATAAGAACTTGTGTAAAGCCCTTACACAAGTTCGTATTCTTATTCAAGAATATTTTGTAATTACAAATGTTATAATAATTAAGGTTTTATATTTGGTTTTAGATATAACCAAACTAGATTATTTCATTATGTTCAAGAATCCTTAACACATTTTAATAACATAGATCAGCGGTTGCCAATCGGTGGATAGAATTTTGGTGATCCCTAGAGTAACTAGAACGTATTTGCAATTATTACTTTAATTGTTTTCTGTTTCTACTATTTTTTTGCTATTTTGGTCCGTAATAAGACATTGCATGTTTATACCCAATGTAAAAGCAAGTGTAGATACCATTTCTTATATAGAACCTTATTTTTATGGACAAAAAGATTGAGAACATGATATAGATGAATCTTAAATTATTTAAAATAACAAAAAATTGAATTTCTTATCATATTCACAACTGTATCATGGTGATACATTTGTTACAACCGAAAGAAAACTGGTGGAATTGCATCAGGCTAGTCCGCCCCTGTTCACCGGTAATAAATGTGCGCTGTGTGTTGGGGACACATTAATTTCCCCATCTGATCCCGTTTCAGCGTTGCGAAAAACGCATTTGCATATATATGTATACGTTGTATTCATGTGTTACGAGCGAGTTTTACAGTCAGGATGGCAACTGTCGCTTCGCGCCGCTCGAGCCACCTGATACCCAGCTATCTAGGATTATATCCGACGCCCTTTTAAACATCAAACTGATCCCCATCCCCTGCGTCCCGTCCACCCCCATACAACGTACAAATAATATCAACGTTGTGTCTCTCGAGGATTCCAAGAATAAAAATATTTATGCAGACATACCTGTAAATCAGTTTTCTGCGCACGGACCGTTTGAAGAAGCCGCTGCAGCCGTTGCAAGCCAGGATTCCGTAATGCTTTCCCGAACTGGTGTCACCGCAGACGACGCATATGAGACCTGGTGCACCTTTCTTCGTGGGTAGACTCCATGGTGGTGGAGGAGTCCTCGATGCTTGTACCAGAGTCTGGGATGCCGGTAAACAGAGTGCTAGAGGATGCTGTTCCGGCTCCGATGATTGGTAGCAGTCCACGCTGGCTGGAGAACCCCGTAGTTCTGCAAAGAAAAAACCTATTTACATTTTTTTGTTAATAATTTAGAAAAAATCAGATTTATAAAATTGTGTAATATTAATTCTAAAGATTTACTTAAATATAACTACAGTTCAAATTTAATTACTTTACTTTTAGCAATTTCTGATAAAACAAGTTTTTGTTTGTCCTTTTTATTTAAATATACAATAGAGATATACAAAATATTTAGAATATATCTTTTTTGTCACCAGATGTTGTTTGAACAAAATTATGATTTTTTTTTTTAAATTTTGTCGTAGTTGTTATTTGAAACTTTTATATATTGTTAATTAGTAAGATTGGGTAGTTAATATATAATATAGATTACTAAAATTATGTTGAGAATTTTAGTTGTATTAAAATAATCAAAAATAAATATTTCAAACGTTTACATTTAATCAAAAACCTTTTTACAATAATTCTATAATGAAAATGTATAATTACGTAATATTTGTTGTTTTAATAAATAACGTATGAACATTTTGTCATTTATCACAAAAATATAAAGTTTTTTTGATTATTCGACATTTAATATGAACTGTAATTTTTTCTTGAAAAGTATTGACAATGTTTAAAATTTTAATTGGAATTATTTAGAAATAAGTATAAATTATTTGTTAGTATTTGTAATTTTCTCAATGTAAGTTAAATACTTTCAGCAATACAATAGAAAGACAATAAATTTGTACTGTTTCTGTTATAATAGAGTGAATATTATAAAATGTACTTTATATGTAGTGAACTAATTTCTTTTCATTTATTTATAATTATTTTTATTTAATTCCTTAGATTTTATAAAAAAAAGATTTTTTTATAGCACTAAATTTTATAAAATTAACAAATTTCGTTATTTTATATTATTATGTCAAGAGCAACACATGGCTTGATTAAACACAACGTAAATAAAATAAATTATGAATTGGTATTTTAATCGAATTTAGAGTAGAGCCGTTTAAATGATGAATGTTTCAATGAAATAAATAAATATTTAACTACATTTAATTGAATTAAGTAATAAAAGTGTCGTTGTGCACTAGATGGAATTGAAATATATGTAAATGACATTTTGCGAGTGCGGTGCAGTTGAAGGCAATTACTCAAATTCTGTGCGAATCCATTAGAGCAACATTCAATTGAAATCTGGTGCTCGCTATAAAAAAATCATAAATTAAATTAATCCAGGCATTAAGAATAACCTGCAAGAGTGTAGCTGTAATTTGAATGTGAATACACTTTTTCTCTCACCCCCTTGTCGTATGAGGGTCGGTTTAGAATACCAAACTCGAGCCATATGTAAAGTGCCCTTTCTCTTCGACTACCATCAAATCCATCCGTATTGACCCCCACCGCCACCACCCCCTTACATGATTGCAATGAATCTTGAAAGGAGCGGGACGCGATTAGGGATTTGACTTAATACCAGGCGTATATTAATTCGCATTATATAGGTTAGGGTTGATAAATGCACCCTACGAATCCGAAGGGGCTCTCGTTTTTGTTGGATGGGAGATGATGTATTAGACACCATGTGGTCAAGCAAATTAAATATCTATTACTTCTTCTCTTTTTTTTTGTATCTGTCCCTAATTTTATTTCAATTTTTTTGTTTCGCCCTGTACATCCTTTTCGATCGATCCCTCCAGGGAGATCCGATCTAAATTTCATGCCCTTTTGAGTTCATGATATACCAAAACACAAACATACAATAAAACGCAATTCATCTCCCCCTATGAAATCATATACATGTTCATAAAGTGTTTTGATGCTACATTCAGAATCAACACTGAACTATAACAGATTTAGATACATATGTGTTTTAGGGATAAGTTTATCGAAATTAATTATCACCAATTAATTAACCAAAACAAAGAAAAGATTTCTCCTATGATAATAAATGTAATTTATTTTTGAAGATTAGACGATATATTATTGTAATAAAAATTACATACAATATTGATGTTGTATCTTGTATTTATTCTTGATGAACCGCGGTACCCTAATAATTTCAACCTTTTAGCTAATAGCTTTTCATAGAGTTTTCAAAACTTTATTTCTAATTGCTAAGAGGGAGCCTGAATGTGGTCTGTCTAAGTGAGTCTTCTGTCGAAATGCATGCCTAGATATTTAACTTTTGTTGTTTTTGGGCAGATCTTTTCCACTGTATTACATTTGTGCAGTATTGCTAGTTTTATGAACATCTGCCACGAGGAAATGTTATAGGACTTCTGTTTTAAGGCCTATAATACTTCCTTGTGGAACCCTTGATTCTATTGGCTAGAATTCAAGAAAATGGCGACAAAATATTTTCGTAAACGATAGAAGAGTAATAGAAATTATGTTTTTTTTAAATCATCATAACCATATGAAATCAACTGTAGCTGTCAATCAATTGTAAATGTTACACTAATCCGTATAAAGACAGAATTTCTAGTTAAATATAGCAGTTTGTACTTGTTCATGTATGGAAGCTTCTAATTGTTGCCTCCTTTAGGTCAATTCCATAAACTTCTGCAATATAATGAAAACATTGTCTAGTTTTTCCGCAGTTACTTCATCCCATACTTTGTACACAACCACAATGAGTTCATCAATACTTGACGGGGACTTTTTGTGTTGTAATGATTGAATGTAGTTAAAGAAATCCAAATCGAGTACTTTGAAATCGGGATTGTTTGATGGTTGACAATCCACCCATTTTCAGTACCAGCGCGAAGAACTTCCTCTTCATCTTTACTGCAATGTGGTATAGCATTATCTTGTTGGATTTTGATTGGTATAGTTCAACTACCATTTTTCCATTTTTCTTTTATCGCGGGAGTTAATATCTCTGTAATTCTTCGAATAAAGTAGACTTTTTGGGTAGTTTTTGCAATAATTAATCTTGAAGAAGTTGTGAAATAAAAATAACAATTGTTACAAAATTTTAACTGTTTACTACAAAAACATTTTTGACAAATTTAAAACTTTAGGTGACTGATAGAGTCACTTTTTCCATGCCTAATTTAAATAAATAAGTACTGATAAATTTAATTTAATTATTTCAATTATCCATTAAACAAACTAAAATCGGATACTTATTTTGAAACGCAAACTTGAATACAGGACAAACGTAGCAATGTGATATTCTACAATTGTCACATGTCTCGATATTTCTGTTGCACATAAAACATGGTATGTTAGTTGCATTAGAAGTCAATATCTGTTCAACTGTTTCAATAATCTACAGAAATGTTTAAATTTAAATATTTATAATTTGAAAATTTCATCTGTCTGAAATCTATGATTCAACCTCACGATGAGTTTTTTGAAGCGTGAAAAGAAATTAGGATGTAGCTAGCAGATAGTTAAGTAGCGTTCCCAGAGGGCCGGGTCATCTTCAATTCTCATCCGAGTCGGCAACAATGAGACAAGTGCGTATCAGGTTTATGAAATTAGTGCCGGTTAAATTGGCGCCAGGGTGTATTAATCAGATGGGACTTTATTATGAGATTCAGTTCATTTCCACCCCAGCCTCTCCATTCACTGTCGCTTCTGCCACCTCTTGCTACATGTTTTCCCTGTTGTCTGTTGCCGCTGCTCTACCATCATGCCCATATGTCAGAAATTGCGGGACGTGCTTTCAATTTTTTCAGGGTTAGTACACCCCTCGACCGGCCCACTATTACACGATTAGTAAGTGCTAGAATGTTTTATATTCTATTGCGATTAGGTCGGCACATTCGCCACGGGTGGCACCCTTCTATACTCCCAACATAATCAATCAACGCAAATATGTGCTATTTGTCAATGCGACATTCTTTACAAAATAAACCGGAATTAAGATTATTTAATTACCAAGTAGGGATTACAAATTATTTTGATCCTTTATACATTTACCACTAAATAATTGGTAACATTTGTGAAAAACTAATTAAGTAATGTACACAAATTTAAGCATATTTTATATTACATATGGATATCTTAAAACAATTACTTATTTGTATATTGACCGCATTTTTTTTGTTACCTAATTATATTAGTAAAGAAACATTTATTTTATTCATAAAAAATACAAATATATTTTCAAATAGCTATAATCCCCAAACTTACTAAATTCAATTTTTTTTCTATTTCTATTTACTGAATTTAATATAACATACTATTTTCTTTGTAATTATTAAAATAATTACAATTATTTTTCTTATTATTTTTCAATACAATAATTAACAATAATAATATTTATAATAAGTTAAAAATAATAATTATTACAAAATGTGTTACTCTTTTTAACCGAAATGTTTCTGCTATAGAATAAATAAATTCTTTGAAAATATTTGAGTGAAAATTAAAAAATAAAGTATATGAAATGTATTCAATAATTGCTAAAAATTTGATTTATATTGTTATACCAAATTTTGCAACAATATACGAATTTAATACAAGTATCTATTGTATATACTTTATTAGATTCTATATAGCTTGAATGACCAGGATTGTTATATAAAACAATATTATGTATTATAATATAAGTGGCATTTAACCTAAAACTAGACTTTATTATATGACTTCAAATGTAGTATTTAAAATTAATTGCAATGATATTCATCCTTTTGTGTATATAATATTTGAACAGAGTTTGTAACAGTTGATTTAATTGCTCGTGAATTAATTAGTATTATTATATTTATTTCAATTTTGTATATATAAATGTATTAATATAAATAATAGTACGCAACATTTGAGTACTTTGTGCGTTTTCAATCAGTCCGAAGTCATTATTAGTTTGAATAATTATAATTCAGCTAAAGCATATACTTTTTCTTTATATAGTCAAGTCTATAGTTTTATAGTTCTGGACTTCAAATAGTGCGGGATTTTTGAATAAAACATTGTTTTATAATCATCATTAATCAATTATATTCAAGATTATTGTATACAACTAATTAGCATGTAGTTATTATATTCTATATTGTCTATTTAAATATTCAATATTTGATTAGGCATTTACTTAAAGTTAAAATAAGCGTTTCATATAATATTTAAATCGTCGGAAAAAAGTTACTGTTTTGATTGTATAAGAATATTGAAAATATAGTAAATAAACATATATGACTATTACCATTGCTATGGTGATGATGCTGTTCCGTCGGAGAGCAGGGCATGTTGGATAGAATGGACGTAGCCGAACAATCCATTGGTCCCGTCGACAAATTCATCTAAAGCTTTACGTCTTCTCTTCAAATATATCAATTAAACCAGTCTTCCGTCGCTCGAGCACAGCCACTAAGTATTTTCAACTCTTCGAAATCAACACTTGACTTGTAATCATTGTCTTCCAAGCATCACCGTTTTCAAATCGTTGCTACGATTTCACGCCGCTCTTCTTCACTAAATCCAATATTATTTTCTTTCTTCGGTAAATTTATTTCAGCTCTAATTTTGATTTCGGATTAGAACTTGATTGGTGAGTGACTGTTTGTGTGTTGGCAATAAATTGGATTAATAAATTTGCGTTCTTTGCGGTATTCGATGTGTTCTGGTGGATGCACCGGGCGTAGCAGCACTGGCACAAGTGGCACTAGATTTGTAGGGTGTTATGAGAAATGAAACCAGTGTATTAAGCATCATCCAGGGGCGGGATCAGATCTCGCCACCCTGTGTTTAACTTCTAACCGATCGCGACTGCGCACACGCACACATACACACCTACCCTTAAACAGACGGATACAGACACAGCAAACGCACTCTTCACTCCCCCACCCTCGTTCAAACATCCATCCATGCTCCATCTCTTTCTTTCTCTATATAGTATACATGGAGCAAGAGCCAGTAGGTGGGGAGGCTTTATATAACGCTCTAGCATCAATTTAATTTATCATTCGAGTATCATTAAATTTTGCTCAATAAACGTTAAGGGCGTTAAAATGGTAGTATTTTTTGATAACTGTACTCAATTAAAGTTTTTTTGTTGTTGTAATTTTTACGTGCCAAGTATCGAATATTCATCATTATTAAAAATAAAAAGCGTCGATTATTTTTGTACCATCAGAAATCACATAATGTTTTATTATGTATTCATTTATATTGTAAATAAGATATTAACAAAGGCAAAAAGTAATTTAAAATTAATATATAATAGTATGTACAATACAAAACAAACGTGCGTTTTTTTTTCGATTTTTCACTCAAATACGTTGAGATCAGACTTGAAAATATATAGTCAATAAGTACATTTATGAAACCTTTATTATATTATTATGTACAATGTAAAGAAATCTATTAAAAAAAATTAAACAGAAAAAACATTAAAATTAAAACTTATATTATTAATATAAAACGTCAAGTGCTGTATTTATTTTTTATATATTTTTATACACTTCATGTCTAGATTATAATGTAAATCAATGTACTATCAAGAATCTATGAAAATTTAGAAACAAGCTGTTATTGTCAGTAATAATTAAAAAAAAATAAATATTTTTAATAATCATTCAAAGTTATTTACTTTGTTTATGTTTTTGAGTATTATATAAATATTATATTGATATTATTAAAGATATTTCACATCATTTTGTAATATAATATTTATTTGTTAGGTATTTTTATATTAACAAAATAATTGATATTGTAAAAAAAATCAACTCAGTTTAAAATAGAAGTATTGTTTAATGTTTGTAATTATTTTTATTACAGCAATTTCTCTAATACACACATAACAAAATAATAAACATTCGCACAAAATGTCTAAAGTTAATTTAGGTGAGTTTCCAGTCGATTGTGATACGTGGTTCTCGTTTTAACACTCTCTTCCTGAACAAAGTTGCTGTATAACGTATGTAATACTATACCTCAGTGTTTCTCAAACTTTTTGGTCCGCGACACTCTTTTGCACTTAAAAAATTTAAAGGAAACTGTCTGTCATCAATTTTTCTGCAAACCCCAAGTATTTTTCGCAACCCTCAGATTGAGAATCACTGCTATACCTAAATACCAATAAAAAATAAATACAGTCACACAATTCTATGTAAAGAAAATAAAATGTTTATTTAATGAACAAATGTTTTTTAAATAAACAGTAAACTTACAAAGTGCAAAACTCATACATTTAACATTTATTAATTTTTTTTTAAACGGTGTAAAATGAGGGATAGGTTATTTTCAACATTTTTATTTAAATCGTAGAAAAAGAAACCGTGTAAATCGAGTACCGTGTAAAACGAGGGTTAACAATATAAATATAGTCATACGTCCCTATGTAAAGAAAATAAAAAGTTTTTATCTATTGTCAATAGTCCTTTGTATCAGTTGACTTAAAACTTCGTTATCAGAGGTAATGTTAACCGAGTACGACTTTACATCAGCATAATTCTAATTAGATACAACTTAAAAAGTTAGTTATAAAAAAAAGTATGTATGTATAATGTAAAAAGTATTTGAAATTTAATTAATCGATTTGTTATTACAGCCATCAAGATTTTAATCCATCGATTATTTCCTTTCTAAAAGATATTACGTTGCATGAACATTAAACGATTACTCTTAGCTTCGTTATAGATTAAATTGATGAAATGCTAACAACTTTCCAATATTACAATCGGATTGCGTGGTTTAATAAAAAAATAAATAAAGCAGAAAGCGTATTGTCGTGGCAGCGGTTACGTAGTATTTCTCTACTTTTTTTTTGTCTTCTTCGGATCGGATCGTTACAAAGTCGGCTTCGCCGGGGATGCGAAATATAACAAAAGTTGCTATGGTTACGCGACGGCGATGACAAAACAAAAATGACACATAATGCGAGCCATCCCCGGTGACGGCGGTGGTGGGGTTTATGTGCACGTGAGGCGGGCGCCAATGGCAGCAAAGAGCATGACAGACCAATGGGATTATCCGTTGCGACGGTTCAAGGGGGTGGACCCACCACAAATCAAAGAGCGTGCACATTTTTCTAAAGCACTGGAAGAAGGTGGTACACCAAAGTATACACCCCCTCAAAAATACGGAAAACAATTGTTTTTCTATGGGATAGTAAGAAATAGTTCAAATATTAAAATTTGATATTTAAATAGTACACCTATTCCCTGATTTACACGGTATATAAAAGTAAATCGATTATTTTTAACATTTTTTTTATTAATGTAATTTATTTTAAACGGTGTAAAAGCGAAAACATGTAAATTAGGTACCGTGTAAAACGAGGGATAGGTTATTTTAAACATAAATCGAGTACCGTGTAAAACAAAGGATAGGTGTATTTACATTAACAAGTAGGTTTTCCTAACCATTGACTAAGAGATCCTTCAGATCTATATTAGTCATAAATCACCCGTCCAAGTAATTAATACATTGCTTAAATTTAGTATTGTATCAAGTGACTCTTACAACGGAAGTCTTATAGATTAGTCACAGTTCCTAGTTCCTAGAATGCGCATACGAAATCAATATTGCAACTAGAATTAAAAAATACATACGAGGGGTCTAACAAAAGTTCGCTAAGTTAATTCATTTGTTTCTGAAAAAACAAATGTTGTTAAAGTCTAACGACATTTCATGTCAAATTTTAAGAACATCTGTAAGAATGGATAGGAAAAAATGCAAGATTAGTGATGTAAGGTTGGTAGAAATTCCACCACCAACACGGAAAAAAATTGTTTTGTCATTGTCTACGGACTTCGACGTCAACTCAAGCTTATGCAAATTTTCCAGGAATGCCAAAATGAATATGGAGTGAATGTATCATCCCTTGTGTCGATTTCTATGTGGTGTCAAAAATGTCAGACCGAACATTTTTCTATGGAGGATGAATCTCGCGAAGGTTGCCCAAAATCTTCGACCAATCTTCGACACTGGTGAAGGCAAAAATTGACGAAGATCCAAGAGTGACACAGAAAATGGTAGTTGATGAACTAGGCTTGAATACCATGGCTTTGTCGCAAATATGAAATCATCACTTGGGCTACACGAATAAATCCGCTCGATGGGTTCTACGATTTCTAAATGACGACCAAATAAAGGCACGTGTTTGTTTTGCCGAATATTTCTTGGAAAATTTAGAAAATGGAGATTCTAGCGCTTTTAGTAAAATCGGAACTGGTGGACAGCAGTCCACGGTATGGAGCACAAAAGGTGCAAATTCCTCCAGTTAAAGCAAGACAACAAAAATCGAAACTAGTCTGAGAGTAACTGCTAAGTAGAATACAGAAACTTGCTTACCACAAGTTTTCAAAAATTTGTTGGGAAACCAGAAAAAAGGGGACTTTGTCGCTACTTTTTACATCACGATCATGCGCACTCACACTACTGTAATAACCAATAACTTTCTTGCATCAATGAAATTTGCTCAGCATCTTATTCTACTGACCTAGCGCCTTATGATTTCTGGCTATTTCTAAAAATAAAAAAAATTGAAGTAAGAGTCTTCAGATCCAATAATAGATAAAATAAAATAAAAGTTGAAAAGCTCCAAAAAAAGATGATTTTGAGGAATGTTTTGTCAGCTGGCTCTACTGACTTAAGAAATGTATTGAAATAAATGGAAATTATGTAGAGAAATTACAAAAGGATGAAAATTAAAAATGTTAAGTATTATCAACTTTAATGCGCCCATGCCTTTTGCACGTTTTTTTTATTCAAAAGTTTATTAACAAATCATAGATTAAGCGTTTTATAATCATTAAATCGATTGGATTATGTAACATATCTGCATATCGCGTTGAAGTATGCGTTATTTTCAATGTTTCTTAGGAAATAATATTAAAAAATACTAATAAAATCAATAATAATTAACGTATATTAAAATAATCAGATAATAATGATATTTATTTCAGGCGATTTGCAATAGTGATTATATGTACTTCATCACAAATATGTAAGAATTAATACAACCAACTTGCTTAAGAAATTGGGTATGTATTTATTTTTAAATATAATTATTTAATTAATTTGTAACTTCATAAAAAATATTTACGTAGAACGATTTGTTATAGTAACAGGTCTTAAAACTAGACAGAATATATTTTTATTTATCATTGTATAATAATTATATAGTTTTGGAGTAAATGGAATTATATTCTAGTATAACTAAGATAATTTTCTAAAATAATATGTATGTAACATACGATGATTTAGAAAAAAAACTTTTGTAAAAAAAGTACTATTTTTATTAACGTGCGTATGGGAATTATTTTGTTAATTTTGGATAAAACGTCCTATAGTAAACAATTTGATAGATTAAAATTCGATTGTATTAGAGTAAATACTTTAATAACGCAGTATAAAATTTGCGACTGCTCTCATATAACTCGGTTCTCTTATGTCATGCTTTCCATACAATATAACTTAATTAGCTTAAAAACTATTGTAGGAAGAGTCATTGACATCTAAAGATTAGATGTAAAGGAATTGATGACATTCATTGATACATCTACCTCCAAAAATATGATAAAGAATGAATTGAAAATTTCAATTTGATTGACTTAAGAAGACGACTTGATTTAGCCAAAGTTTTAGAATTCGCTTTCTATCAAACGCGGTACGAATTAATCTCATTTGTACTCATAACGCGGCTTTCATATTAATCGCTTTATGTGTTGACTGTAATAGATATACCTATTGAATATATTAAAAACTACTGATATTAATTAAAAAGGGTAAATCT